CTTTAGCCGACAGCTCGCCGAGTCATCTCCCTACTATGAGTTGATCAAATCGCAGAACAAGGAGGTTCTGTTCCTGTATGAACCTGCGGACGAGGTGAGCACTTTTGCTTCTTTCTGGACCATGCCAGATCCATGCTGAAATTTGCCGGAATGAAATATCTCCTCCTAGGTGGTCTTCCTCTCGTTGGGACAATTCCAGATGAAGAGTTTGGTCGGAGTTGAGAAGTGGGCTGAGAGCGCTGCATCTACAGATACCGAAAAGGCGGACACAAGTGAGGTTTCGAATTCCACCATTCGGGTCAGCGATTTGTGTTTCCCCATTTACAAATCATTTTCAGAGCAGTTCCGTGATATCAACAAAAAAGAGTTGCTGGACTGGATCAAAACCACGTTGGGATCTGTGAAGGTAAGATTCTTCCTATCAGAACGGAGGTTTCAGGTCTCGAAGAGAGTACTACCAATAGTAATGCCGTATTCAGGTCCATGATATAGCTGGACATCACCGACCCAGCGACCATCCAGTGATGTTGACAATCAAGCACGAGATGGGTGCTGCAAGGCATTTGCTACGAACAGGTGAAATCAAGGATATGGAGCACCTGGTGAGATTTGTTTGAAATTTGTTTGCATGGCCGTTATTTTTTTTCTCCTAGTAGGAATGAAGGACACTCTAACCCTTCACGACCCAATTGTTTGAAAATTAGGCTGGCTTTTTTTGTCAAACCTTCTAAAGGGCTAGGAGAATAAATACTAGAACAAGAACTATTGGCCAAGTGTTTCAGCCAGCTTCTGAATGTGACTCGGGGGGGGGGGGGCTCCAGCGTTGGCATCAGGCATTTTCGCATCGAACCTCGATAGCCCTGTTCAAGGGGTCATCTGAGACAAATTCCTAGCCATCTGTGCTCTCCGTGAGACAGATCAATTCTCACTGCAAATTCGTTAAACTGGGCACTTTACCAAGGGTAATAGGTCGTGTAAAGAGTGTCTGTGCTTCTTGTAATTCAGTATTGTACTACTTCAGGTCTTCCTGCAACCGAGCTTGCATGTGAATCTAACGCACCCGTTGATTAAAAGTCTCTACGATTTGAAGAGAACAGATCCGAAGACAGCAGAACTTCTCATTTCTCAGGTACAATGATTCTGTATATGCAAACCTAGTGAAAGTGAAAATGATCTCTTCATTTATCATCAGTTTTAAACTTTGAACACAACAGTATTAAACTTTGAATACAACAGTATCAAATTTTAAAGTTGTGCTGTCCCGGAGCCTCATTGCAATCTGAATGTAAACACATAAAAGAGGCGCCAAAATTTATTGCGAAAGACTCAAAAGATTCAAAAGAATCCAAAAGTTTTCACAAAAAACTTTTGGATTCTTTTAAATCTTTTGAGTCTTTTGCAATAAATTTTGGCGCCTCTTTTATGTGTTTAACATTCAGTAAATTTATGGAGGCTTTCCTTCCCTGGCCTTACTCAATACTCACTCCTCTGTGTTCGAAAATAGTATATGTTGACCAATAGGCTAGAATTCGGGTTGGCGCTACGGCAGACAATCTACGAGCAGGTGTCATGGTGATGTCCTGGACAAGTGTTTAGCGGGTAACATTAGAAAGCTGTTAGGTGCTACTTAATTGTAAGAGCTGGAGGGCCTTCAGAGGAGTATGTGACAATGTGGTCGTTTACTGTAATTTTCACATACACGGACGAACGGAAATGCCAAAAAAAACCACTGGGAAGGCATTCGGTGAGTGTTTTGAGGTGAGGGTAAGAACAGGGTGCTTTTCACGTTCTCTCTCTCTCTATGATTACGTATTTCGTAATTCTGTGCGAAGGATGATTAACACACGTGGACTGCCGCAGCGCTGTAAGATACCACGAAGAATGCGCTGAGTCTCAGGCAAGAAACCCTGTCCCAGGCCGGCAGAACCCTCATCCTCTTTGTTTTCGCGCGATGAATGCGCTATCCATCATGTCACCAGTGACAGGTTCTTACTCTTCAGCTTGAAGACTTTCTGTGCCACTGGCCTTGCACTCCCACGTTTACGCGTGAATTATGTTGCCTCGGCGTGGCAGAATTGTCTTTATCTTCATTTTATTGTTTGTGTATATTGATTATTAACACTATGCAGTCTTTTTTATTTTCAGGCTTCTTCTTCAACAGAGTCTTTCGGCGTTTGCATCTTAGGCTTTGATAGTGATGCTCGTGCCATCGTCAGAGCATTTATTTTATTTATTATTATTATTTGTATTTTATTTATTTATTTATTTAAAATTCACACTTTCGATTGCAGATCTATGACAATGCCCTGATCACGTCAGGCCTTCTAAAGGACACTAGCGGTATGGTACAGCGGTTGAATAAGCTGCTTACACAATTGGCAGCAAAAGACAAGAGTACAATTCTGACGCCGTAGAAAGAGCGCAGAAGGACTTCTTTGCTAGGTTTTTGTTTGTTTGCTTTGCGATTTGTTCTTAAGCATTTCTCATTTTCTGTTTATTTTGTATCGCCCCCATGATAAGTATATATAACTGGTATGAGGAAATCTCCACCCCCCCCCCTCCCCCGAGACTAGAACCTGATTTCTACGCCTTTTTGATATCCCACATATGACCTCAAAATCTCTCATATTTGTTTCGTTAATTATTGTTCGCCGTTGTCATCCGGCTACATCATCTTGCTGATTATTTTGAATTCAGGAAGCCGTTGGTTATCTAGTAATTAGTAATATAATTAGTTACATTAAGTATAGAAAAGTTTTCCTATTAGATTATTGGTACCGGTTTTCAATTAGAGGTTATTGGTACCGGTTTTGTTTTCACTCCTAATTTGTTGATTTTGCAATTCGTAGAGTTTCTGTACAATTTTTTAAGTAATTACTGTTGATCTGCTTGTTACTAACTGTTACTTCGGTGTGTTTCTGCTTAGTCAGTTACTTTCCATGATAGTGTTGTTTAATGTGGAGAAATATTCTATTGATCGAGTCTACTTTTGTATAGACAGGTTTTAAACCTATATTTGTGATCATATTCTGAAAAATTCCATTCGGTTTCGAAGAAGATAGCATAGAGTGGGCAGAGTGTGTGTTTCGAGCTTTGGATATCTACAGTCTTGTTCGCTGCAGATGAAGAGGCGTGTCAGGAATGTGTTTGGCGTGGCACCAAACCGGTCTCCACCACTTGTTGAGGCGAATGAGCGGCAGCAATTTGCAGTCCTTTCGCTTTCTCGTTTCAACAGCTGCTGGAAAACGGGTTTGCTCCCTCGACGAAACCCACAGTCTGGCACTTTCCTTCATATGCAGCGAGCAATACTCATCAACCAGATGTCCCTCCCCTTCTCCCTTCCTACTGGTTCTCTACTTTATCCCCTATTCCTTCCTCTTTTCTCTTTAAATCCTTAGCTGAACGTCGAGAAAAGGGGTTCTACTCACTGTTAGAACCGTTGGTTGACAGATGCCGTGTTACACTGGTTTTCACGATTCTCTTCGCTTAAAATGCGCCCGCTTATTCCGGTGGCTTCAGCCCGAAGAAATTGTTTGAATGACTAAGAAAAAAAGAAGAAATTGTTGCTGCAGTCATGAAAACAATTCGTTTGTAATGTATTCAGATGCAAAATTTGATAGATGTCTATATGGACATGCCCCCGGTTACGCGGGCATACACGACCGCGTGCATCCTAACAACTATGGCAGTGGTGAGTTCGTTTCGTAGTTGTCATCGTCCCTTGGAAGTTAAAAGCTATATAGGTTTCTTGAATTACCCGCTCATTTACCCGAGAACCTCTGCTTTTTTTCTGCGTTCTAGCTGTGGGATACTCTTTCTATGGGACAATTTTTGGAGCTGAGGAAGTTGGGTGTGTGCACCAACTTCCTCAGCTCCAAAAATGCAAGTGTGCAAGGGCTCATTTGCGTTTTCCAGTCAAGATGGTTGT